AGGAGTCTGACCTCACAGCCCATTCTTTTACTTCCTATAGCAACTTTGGATCATGAGACCCTTGAACACACGGCCCAAGCATTTTTACACTACAGTGTTACCTTAGGAAAGTTCAAAATAAGTTCCTTGTCCAATGTACTTATAAAGCCAAAGGTCAGGCAAAAGTTCAGTGATTAGAAGAGTCATTTATTCTTCTGGGTGGGGGTAGCAGAAAGAAAAGCCAGATAATCCAAACCTTATTGTATTTTGGGGGGTAGATTTGCCTTCCTTATTGTTCTTTTATTAGGCTACTAAAAAGAAGTTTGCAAAAAATGTGTCCAAGATAAATTGGTAAGTAGAAAAAGCTGCAAAAAATCTGGAGATATACACACCATTAAACATTAATACAACTATTAACAGGATATATATATATATAAAATACACACAGCTTATAGTTCTACAAATGTGAATGTTTTGTAATAGCATATATTTCTTTTGTAAGCAGGACCAAACAACTTAGTTTTAATGACATGTGAACCCAATAAGAACAGAAGAGTAGGGGGAAGAGCCATAGCTCAGCGGCTTCCTCTCCCCTCAGTTCAGCCCTCCTAAATTAAGAACCTGCACTTGGGGGCACCTGGGTGGCTCAGTCGCTTGAGCGTCTGCCTTCAGCTCAGGTCCTGATCCCAGGGTCCTGGGATCGAGCCCCACATCGGGCTCCCTGCTCAGTGAGGAGCCTGCTTCTCCCCCGGTGTGTGCTCTCTCATCTCTCTCTCAAATAAATAAAATATTTAAAAAAAAAAAAAAAAGAACCTGCACTTGTAGATCCCTGGACACTCTCTGCTGTGTTAAGCCTCTACACATTCATGTTTCCTGGCCTTGAACGCAACTGTTCACAACTCAACTTTGTCGGGAGAATTCCTATTCACCCTACAAAACCCCGTTCATAGGCATTCCGACCTGATAAAGCCCCTCTGTGATAAAGCCTTTTCCCACCCCTGAAGAGAATGAATCTCTTTTCTGGGATATTTTATAGGAACTTAGATTTATGGAGTTCTCACTGTGGGGCAGGCATTATGCTAAGCATTTTACCTATATTATCTCATTGACTCTTCAACAGACCTAGGAGATAGGCCCTGTTATCCTCTACTTTTACAGATAAGAAACTGAGACTCAGTTCTGATGAGGAAGTAGCAGATCCAGGATCTGATCCCAGACCAATCTGACTCCAGAGCATCAGATGTGATGTGAACCTCTTATCCTGTCACCTCCCCTGCCCTGTGTCCATCCTGAAGCAACTCACACCCTGGTCCGCACAATGCCTCTAGTTCCGTGAAAATAGTAAAATAGTAACAATATTTCATTACCCTTGGATACCGCCTAGCATAGTAATTGGCTCAGTATAAAATGTTTGCTGATAATAAATAAATTAAAACAAAACAAAAATGAAATAAAACGTTTGCCTGCCTGACCGAAGAGTTGTGATAATCCTAACATAATGAGAACTGAGAACGGAAATTCATCCTTCCACATGCTGTTCCTTTTAAAAACTAGAGACTTTTTTTTTTAAAGATTTTATTTATTTATTTGACAGATATACAGTGAGAGAGGGAACACAAGCAGGGGGAGTGGGAGAGAGAGAAGCAGGCTTCTGGCTGAGCAGGGAGCCCGATGTGGGGCTCAAACCCAGGACCCTGGGATCATGACCTGAACCGAAGGCAGGCGCTTAACGATTGAGCCACCCAGGCGCCCCAAAAACTAGAGACATTTCAAACAACTGACCACCAAAGTATCATCTGGCCATCCAGCCTAAAGTGCACCATAGTAAGCCGAGGTTCCGAGTGACAAATGTGTAACTGGGACATTAATTCTTTTCACCATAACTGACAAAGACTGAAACAGCCCGGCAATGTCATCCTGCTGGATCTCACCAAGGCTGCTCCAGGAACCAGGACTTCTTCAAGATTTGGGGACATCCTCAAGTGCTCTTTTGGTGTTTTTTATAAATGACCCAAAAGTTATAGTAAAATTGTTTAAATATGGAAGACATAAAATGTAAGTGGCCATTTACAGTCAATTAAAAATCCTAAAAGACACTTCTGCACTTAAACACATCAATCTGTTAAGTCAGAACACCTCTCTGGGTGCTGGCCCAACTTATAAGCTCAGGCCCAAGGACAACTCCCCTAGGCCATGTGCACTGATCTACTTTGTACAAATTAACCAATGCCAGGCACGCGCCCGACACACAGTAGGCACTCCATAATTAAACACCAATACCTGGCCTCACAAATCTTTGGAAGGACAAAACCTGAAATTCCAGGGTCTAGCCTTCAAGACCTCTTATGAGTAGACACCCCTCCCCTACTTACCTTCCTAATCTACCAGGATTTTGTTCCTATTGTACCACCATACCTCCTCACCCCAAATTCTTTACACCTATCACATTTCAGCTATTATTTGGGACCCATATCAAATCTCTCCTTTGGCAAGAAGACTTCCTAGGCCATTCCAGGCCTCGTAACCTCTCCTTCCTCTGAAGAGCATAACACTTAGTGCAGCACTGTCCAACAGAACTTTCCAGGACAATGGGAATGTTCTATAGATGTGCTTATATATACTTTAATATGTAACAGCTACCTTTTTGGATGGCACAGGCTTAACACCTCACCACCTCTTTGAGGACATGTTGCCCTATAGGGATAAAGCATTTATCAAGGCCCCTCAGTGGACTGCAAGTCCTGTGAACAAAGCCTCTGATTCTTCATGGCAACTTTCACAAAGTTGCAAAAAGCAAATATTTGTTGATCTGTACACCACCTCTGGGGAAACCATAAGGTAAAAAGGTGCTGGACTCAGCATCTGGAATGGTCACAACCTCTGCCCCATCTCACATCAGAAAGTCAAGACAAGCAGAAGCAGGAGGAGAAAGCAACTTTCTAGAGACACAAATGATCACTGATCAAGCCACAAGGCACTCTGGATTTAAATGGCATTTTTACCTCTCTCCATTAGCAAATAGCTAAATTCTGATGACAAGTTACGCTAAGAAGTTAGTGACTTCTCAAGTTGTACACAGCAGATGGAAAAATAACCTAAGCAAAACCCTAGTTCTACTTCTTTTTGCACCTGTTTATTGGCTATCTCCCTTGGAGTCTTACAGCCTATTTGTGGTATTTCACTGTCCAGATAGATGTGAGAATTTCAGTGACACTTTTCCCAGCAGGGTCTACACTCACTGTAAATCAAGATCTAATATTTAACATAGGTCAAAATAACACAAAATATGCCAAAGGTACAAGTTCTACCACTATGACACTCTGCTGCCTTGGGCAAGCGCCTTGTTCCTTTAGCCTCAGTTTCCTTATCTATAAAATGGGGTTAATGTCATACGAACTATCTACCCTTTGTAAGGCAAGTCACAGCTGTGGATATTTCTAAACAGTTATTCTTCCGAAAAGTACTATATACAGAAATAAAAGACCCGTGAATTTGCTAGTGGTTCTCTGTGGTGGATATGCTAACAAATATACAGACTTTAAGATCAACCCTCCAATATCTACAACAATTTTTTTTTCAGTATTCCAGACTTCTTTTCCCCATCCCACTATGCAAATGTCTGAGCAAAAATTCTGCTAGTGTTCCAGTCCGGCACATGTAACAAGGAAATAAATGTGTCGACTCAGAGAACACAGACATATTTAATATAAAACAGAAATTTGGCTGAATCAAGTCATAACAGTCTAAATCCACATATGAAAGACTGAGATGATTTATAGTTCTGATTTATTCCAACCAATGCTTTATCAGCATAGCCAGCCAAAAAGTTACAACCCATACACAGAATATAGCCTGTAGATGCACACATGATAAAAACCAGCAGATACACATTATGTACATTATTTTTTTTTAAGTGTCAATACCACACACACTTGATGTAACACAGAAAGATGTGCACTGAACATGGAAAAAGCAACTTGGATGATGGTTTGAATTTCGCTAACTTAAGCCCAACCACACCCCCCAATCACAGGTAAAGTTTGCACGCTCGGCTTCGCCAAGGCCAGCCTGTCTTTGTTTCCCTCTGCGTTTACCCAAGATCTTGGCTCAAAGACAGAAAACTCCCACACTCGATTGGTTCATTCTGTCCTGTGCAATTAAGCAACACCACAATCCAGTAAACGCAAGGGCTCAATTATTTATCTTCTGGCCAAGTTTACCAGGTGTTTATAAAAGAACAATGTCAAGGAAGAAAGAGGTTTATTTCTCTCTAGAACTGGCTTGATGGGGGTTTTATTTTGCTTTGTTTTTAGAAGGGGAGGAGGGAAGCAAGGTTTTATCTAGAAAAAAAAAAAGAGTGGAGGGAATTTATAAAGAGTACAAGACTGTCAATTTCCCTACAGGAAACTTGATTCTTATGCAATAATCCTACCCACAACCAACCAGCCTGTGGGGCTGTAGGAGGAAGACACCTATTCCCACCTCTAGAGGGGCACAGCTGGCTCCTAAAGGAGAGGGAACAGGGCAAGGCCGAGGAATTGGCTCAGCCGGGAGCCGCCGGGCACCGCCGGGGAGAGGGGAGAAAGCTCTTTCCAACACCCCCACCTCCCGCCCGTGATCTCTGCCGGCCTGACAGTTGCTCCTGTGGCCGGAACGTCCCCAGAGCCTCTGGGAGCAGGAAGTCGGGGGGCTGTCCCTCACTCCTGCCACCCCCACCCTGGAGTGCCCTCGCCCCACTGTCTTCCCCCTTGAGCCCATTTTCTCTCTTCCTCGGCGTCTGCCCTTTCTCCAAAGAACGAAACTTCCTTCCAGCGCCCCCTGTCCCTTCAGAGGCCCGCTCCTGTCATCCCGGGAGTTGTCCCTTCAGATCGACCCTCGCGTCTCCACGTATTCCCCCCCCGCCCCACTTAAGTTTCCATCCACAACTCCCCCAAACACTGCAGAGGCTCCCGGCCCCTCCCGCGCCCCCCTCCGGATCCCCAGGCCTGGGGGCCGTCGGCCCCACCCTTCACCCCCTTCACCTGTTTCTCGGGCTCAGGCCCGATAGGCCGGGGCTGCGCTTGCGCCGGGGTGCGGGCTGCGGGGCTCCCTCAGGCCGCGGGGCCTCTCCTGGCAGACACCGAGAGAGAGCGCCGAGCAGGGCAGCTCGTCAAGGATCCGGTTCGGGCTCGCTCGCTCTGCGGCGACGTCGGAACCCCAGACTCCCCTCCCCGTCTACGCCGCGGCAGCTCCGGAAACCGCTGAATTACAGCCCCTCCAGCCAATCCCCGCCCAGCCCTAGCCTGGCAGAGACACGCCGCTTCTGCATAATTCATGAAACGGCCAGTTTCCCCGGCCTCCCAGAAGCACTGGTGCATATACAGTACACCCGAAGCCCCACCCACTGGCCAATGAGAAGAGCCTCTGGGTAAAGGGCGGGGCCAACATTAGGCTGGGAACGCCCCAGTTCTGGCTGTTCCTAGCACTTAGTGCTCCTCCCTCCACCACAGCAGAAGAAGAGCCGCGGCCTTGGGCACAGAAACCCGGGGGGAGGGAGGGAAGATTACCGGAATGTCCTGCTGAAAACTCAGCTGAGTTCCTGGCAATGCGTGACGTCAGGACACTTTAAATGCCCCTGATGCGGCTCTCTCCTGCTTGCTCTCCCTTTTCCCAGCCCTTGGCACCACGTGGGGGCGAGTTTGCAAGCCACTTACCACGTGGGAATCAACCAGTTAGATAGTCCCCAGGTATCGCCAGATCCTCAGGGGGCCCAACGCCAGAATTGGGTTTCTGGGGACAGCAAAAAGAACATGGGTGACTCCCGCCTGCTTTGAACTTCAGTTTCTGCGTGAGTCGGGACACACACACCCGGAAACATGACGTGGAAATAGAGTAATTACTAGAGTGCGTGGGGAGAGGATAGTGGATTTAACCCTGTCCTCCGTTCCGTCGCTTCAAGCATCAAACGCCAACGGCTCTCGCACATTGGCGGGTTCACAAGAAGGCAGACGGCAGCGCATGTGAAGATTGACACATATACACATTATTTTTATAAGTCTGAGCTGAAATACTTGAAATTGCCTGCCTTTTTCTTCTTCGTCTAGTCTACTTCGATTCCAAGTTTCACTGCATTGAAGCCAGTAGTTTATAGGAAATGTAGACATTTTACCTTACAAAATAGGGGATGTACCTTGCATAATGGAATGGTGTGTGTGTGTGTGTGTGTGTGTTTGCTCACGCGCTGACACTATCAGGGTTTTTAAAAATAACAGCTAGTAATATTTGTGTTTATTGTGTTTAATACAAAGAGGTATAAGGATGAAATCTAAACAGGGCGCTTATGGCACCATCCAGATAACCCCGATGAGTTTTTTTTTTCTTTTCTTTTCTATTTAAGATTTTATTTGACAGAGAGAGAGAGCAAAAGCAGGGGGAGCGGCAGGCAGAGGGAAAGGGAGAAAGAGAAGCAGGCTCCCTTTGGGGCTTGATCCCAGGACCCTGGGATCATGACCCAAGCCAAAAGCAGACGCTTAACTGACTGAGCCACCCAGGTGCCCCTGATGAGTTTTTTTCAATGAAACTTTTCATTTCATGGTTCAATGAAACATGTCCTTGTTTCGAAAAATGAAGTAGTTTAGAAAAGTCAAAAATTAAAAATGAACATCTGTCGCCTTCTGGTGAGAAATTTCTCAATTTCTGGTGAGAAACTCAATGACTCTTAACCTTTGGGGGATGAAGGGGGGTTGTCACAGATGCTTCTGAGAGTCGGCTAGAGACTGTGGATTCTGGCCCAAGAAATTTACAGCATGACTTTTACTCACAAATTCTGATGGTTCCCCAGATACCTGAAGCCCAGCCAAAGACTCCAGATTTGGATCTTAAATCCAAGTGAGAGGTGAAAGCATCTATAGCACAACTGTTAAAGTCACTGGTGGTGGAACTGAGTTTCCCATTGCCCTCCTGTAGACCCAGCCCAGTCCTAGTGTGGAAATTACTGTATTTATCTGGTGTGTGTGTGTGTGTGTGTGTGTTTATCTTCACCCCAGAACAGTAGAACAGATACCCTTACCTTCCATCTCACCTAAACGCTGCTTTAGCTGTGCTAGTCCATGCAATTGACCGCCTCCCTAATAACATAAGTTCTGATATTTGTTTTGTTATTTACTGCTTACAAAGCACTTACTCATTACCTCTTTTCTTTTTCACAATAATTATATGTAGCCGATAGAAGCCATATTATTTACCAATAGAAAACTAAGGCTAAAATAGTGTGACACTCTCTGGGGCGCCTGGGTGGCTCCATTGGGTAAGTGACTGCCTTCAGCTGAGGTCATGATCCCTGGGTCCTGGGATCGAGTCCCACATTGGGGTCCCCCTGCTCTGCGGGGAGCCTGCTTCTCCCTCTCCCTCTGCCTGCCACTCCCCCTGCTTGTGCTCTCTGTGTCAAATGAATAAATAAAATCTTAAAAAAAAATAAGTGTCTTGAGAGTGTGACACTCTCAAGATCATGGAGATACTCAGCGGTATACCAGGTGGGTTTAGAGCCAGGTTTTTGGACTCCCCATCCCATAGCTTTGTTCCATCCACTCAAACCCCGCCCTCCTCCCTTGACTCCTCAGCAGATGGCCATTATTTCCCTCACTGCCCTCCCCCACATGCACACATAAAATATTCCCCTGAGCCTATCTGTTCCACCTATAAAACCTCTCTCCAGCCTCACTACTGGCCTTTCTCCACACTCTACCGAATCCCCCCAGCTTACAGATGGCTTACAGTTTCTCCCACATAAGCCAATGCTTTGACCTGAACTCTGTTTTCCAGCCTCCTTCCCTTCATACCATACACCTTAAACTCCCACATTGAATTTATCACCTTCAGCCAAACATGTCAACACCTTCTCTTTATGCCTTTGCAGATCTTCTTCCCTCCGCCTGGAATGCCTTCTCTTTCTTCATTCTCAGCCAGAAAACTCTTACTCATTCTTCAAAACCCAGTCCAACATTACCTCCTCAGGGCTTTTCCAAAATTCTTCCCGGCAAAGTTAATCTCCTGCCAGACTCCTTTAGCAGCTTGTTTCCCCATCCAGTATAGCACTCTTTACCTTGGACTGCAATGTCTCCATTAATTAGTCTACTTCCTGATAAATGAAATTAATAGTTAACACGTATTAAGTAATTACCATGCTCCAGGAATTGTGCTAAGCTTTTTACCCTGATTATCTCATTTGATCCTCACCAATACCCAGTGAGGTAGGTACTATCATAATTCTCATTTTCAACTGAGAAAATTATGGTTGAGAAAGTGAAAGATGGGTCCAAGTTCCCACAACTGGAAACTATAGACAAACCCAGAATGAGAATCAGGTCTGGCTAACTCTGAAGCCTGGACTCTGCCTGCATGCTTAAAACACATCCCAGGGGTGCCTGGCTGGCTCTGTCGGTGGAGTATATGCCTCTTGATCTTGGAGTCATGGGTTCAAACCCCACGTTGGGTGTAGAGATTACTTAAAAATATATATATACAGGGGCGCCTGGGTGGCTCAGTCGTTAAGCGTCTGCCTTCGGCTCAGGTCATGATCCCAGGGTCCTGGGATCGAGCCCCGCATCAGGGTCCTTCTCCGTGGGAAGCCTGCTTCTCCCTCTCCCACTCCCCCTGCTTGTGTTCCCTCTCTGGCTGTGTCTCTCTCTGTCAAATAAATAAATAAAATCTTTAAAATATATATATGCATATATATTATTTTATATATGATACATATAAGATATATTATATTTATATATTATATATTATTATATATAATATGAATATATATTTATATTTTTATACATATAATCCTGTAGGAATATAGCTGTAGGTTCCTGGAAGGTTGAACCCCTTCGTGCTCATTTTCATAATTCCAGCATATAGCATCCATCCCAGAACTCACTTGAGCATGAGTTAAATATTGATAAACATATATTGAGTAATCATATTAGAAATAGCTAACGTGGAGTGTTTACTATGATCTAGCCACTGCTCTGAGCATATATATATATAAAACCCAGCTATTAACTCACTTAATCCTTACAATGACCCCATGAGGAAGATACTGTGATTTTACAGATGAAGAATAAGAGGCTTACCCTAGGTTAAGTGACTTACCTAAGAACACAGAGTTGGTAAATGGCAGATCCAGGATTAAAATCCCAGTACGTCTAACTCAAGAGCCTGAATGGCTGCTCTTCTTTGACTATATCCCCAGGCTTAATTTTCCTCTTGGATTCCCCAGGAAGAGTCTAAAAGAGGGGAAAGATGAGGGCGCCTGGGTGGCTCAGTCAGTTAAGCGACTGCCTTC